TAACGTTATTCTATTTTTTTTAGTTAAATTTGCAATTGTGAATTAATAAATATGTATACTTAAACAGTTATTTATAATTTACAGGGGACACATCCTGATGGTGGGGCTCACGCCAAGTTTACGAATTATAGTTTCGATGTTAAGGAGTTCCTCAGAATCGTTTCGCTTGCAAAAAATCATGTAAAGCATCATAATGCATTCAAAAAGTTTAACAATTCTCTTGGCAAAAGACAAAATGATACTAGAACGATAGATAATGAAAAATCAGTACAACCTTCTAATACTAAAGAACCAATACGATTACAAAAATCGGATATATTATCCAAAGATGAATTATGAACAGGACTTTTAGGCAATAAATTGACAGATGAAGTACAATAATAGAATGTCCTAAAGTACATGTTGATCAATTTGATTTCTCATATATATTTTCTTATATTATGTTTTCTTTATATTATTTTTATACTAATGTATATATTGTACGTTATATACGTTATTTTAATAAGTCAAATAAATGCGTGATATGTGCGCGCGCGCGCGCGCGCGCGTGTGTGTGTGTGTGTGTATCTCGATATGTCTGAGTTGCATATTTGGCAGTACTTTCTCTTAATTATTAATTTGTAATTAAAGTTTACTTATATAACATATATTTAATATTATATGTATATGTGATATAATATTTAATTACATATCTATATTTGGCCATTTATAACATATTTCCTTAGGACTATAATATAAAAAAAATTATTGATAAAATTCACTGTATATTTTTAAAAATTATAAATTATATAACACACCAAAGACTTATGAAAGTCTATTGTTTTCAACAAGATCATCAAAATCTTGATCAAACATTAAATTCATTAAACAGTAAATTCATTAAATTGACTCGTTATTTTTACATATATATTTCACAGTTTGATCGGTATTTTGAGCCTGTAAAGTATTAATACTGAGAATATATTCACAGCCATGTATATAATCAGTATTAATAGAGCTAATGATTGCTTAACATATAATGTATACATTAACATATTCACAACACCAGTCATAACGTTACTGATAAGAAAAAAAAATAGACCGTTGTAATTTACAGCATCAAAAATCTCTAAAGATTTCCTATATATATCCTCATTATTTTCTTCTTTCTTACTCTCCACATGTTTCTTTAAATTCACTGATAAATTTTTACTTGTTTTCATTTTGTATTCAATCCATACGTTATCGCCGTCTGACACCCAATTAGCTATATTCATTAGCTCTAGCACAAATTGTATGAACACTAAGAAACTAAGTAGTGCAGTTGTTAGGACCACTATCCACATGCAATACCCAACGTTGGCTAATCTTCTGGAAATCTTAAAACCACAGGATAATATCGCCAAATAAATCAGTGCAGAGATCATAAATAATTTAATATATAAGGAGGGTAAAGGTCCAATGTATTGTCCTTTCATTTCAAAAAAAGATAATTTCATATTAAGGTCTATACTCGACGTTGCGTGCAAATGACATGTGGAATATATAAATCTCCCAATAGCTACACCAACGAAATACAATCCTACGTAACCAGGTATAGAAATTAAGCCTTCTCGATTGGCAGAGAAAAAATCGTCTCTTGGCTCATCTCCTAAAATCCATGTTTTTAAATCTTTGGTGTTTATGGTGTATTCATGCATGCATAATATCCAGATGCCTGAGAGATATGAATACTTTGAGTTAATAGTGCTGGTAATCATGCTAGTAAATAATTTAACGATAGCTAAAGTTATAAAAAAGTTCCAATGAACTCCATATTCGGTGACGTGTTTCTGATATCCTACGTACTCGACTACTGCAAATCGTCCGAATCCCAATATCAAGAGAGGTATGCAACTTCGGAAGCATTTACTCATATTTTTTGTCAGAGTTTTTAAAAAGCTCGCTTGACGATAAGTAGAGAAGTCTCGAGCCTCCGGCGCAACCAACGCATTCGCCAATACAAACAACCCGACACCTGTATCCATTAAACTATATCCGAACACTTCCGTTTTGGCGAATTTCCGTGGAAAAATATGAAAATCGACGGCTAATATACAAATCGCAGTAATAATGTTGGTCAACGCTCGAAAATTAGTTATGAAGGGTATTTTATCGGTAACCGGCTGCTCAGTAATATTTAAATTGGAGCAATTAATTCTCTTTTGCATCACCAGTGATATGTTTAGTGCAGAAACCAATATTATTATCACGCATATGCTACCAATGTATTCCGATAGTATGGTACAACATAAAATAGTCGGAATAATGGTTAACGCGAACTCTATGACGACTCTTATATTTTTGTGGATGTATATATACTTCTTGAGAACTTCCACAGTTGTTATTGCTAATATGATGCTCCATATGGTTGGCAGAAGCGTGAAAATCACCGCTTGCGGTGTTGTGCCCTCATGATTGGAAACAAATGCTTCTTGTTCGAATCGATATTGTTCCTTGCTCGCCGGCACTGTCATTGTCAAATCGAATTTCAGGCATTCTACGAACATTTTTTTTAGCTCCAACTATAATTTTACAGTTGAAGAAAATATATCTGACAAACAAAAAACTTACGATTGCGATTAATCCACTCATTATTCATTATTTGTCACTTGTACAATAATTATACATTATAGTAAATGTCAATTTAGTACGAGAAATTTGACATTATTGATTGATGTTGTTACATGGCGTCGACGATAGTATACGTTTGATGTTCATATTTCTATAGATGGCAGCACTTTGCTTTTTTTTCTAATTGTTCTACACGATTTGATGAAAAATATTAATGAATTTTGTGATCTTTCACTAACTTTTATACTTTCATCGTATCAAAGTTGTGTTAAAATATCGTTTTAAAATTGTAATATAATGTGATTTGATTTAATCAGTTTATATTAAAAAAACAACGCATTAATATTCACTGTGTTAAATAAATTATTTCCCGCGTAATACTTTTGGCTTATTAATGTCAGAGTGTAATTTGTCTTCGTTTAAATATTTAAGTAAATACAAATATATATTTAGTACATAAGAAAGGAATAACATAACCAAAAAAGCGAGTTACATGGAAGTGAAAATTAAGAGATCATTTCCTTTCAATGAAGATTTTGTCGCAAACAATAAAGTGAAAAAATTAAAAATACATAATCAAATATCAAGCGATATCATTGACATGTCTGGACATAATTTTATAAAACATTCCACAGTACAATCCTTAGAAACACTGAAACGTATTTCACTTGCTGAAAGAATGGTGCCAATGAATATTGAAGCTTATGTGGGGCAAAAACAAATCATTGGCCCAGACACAGTTTTAAATTATTTATTAGAGAAGGGAGAGATTCCTAGCATGATATTCTGGGGTCCACCTGGATGTGGAAAGGTAAAGTTAGTTTTATTCTCCATTTTTATATAGCTATTTTATAATAGTTATGATATTTATGATCATTTGCAATTTATGTTTTAGACATCCTTGGCGAATATAATAGCATGTTTAAGCAGAAAATTAACAAGTAACAAGGTGCACATTGTGAATCTATCTGCAGCCAGTTCTGGTGTAAAAAATATAAAGGATGCTGTTACCGTAGCAAAGGACAAATCAAAATTTGGATGCAAGACCATTGTTTTTATGGATGAAATTCATTGTTTCAATAAACTTCAGCAAGATATATTTCTGCCACACGTAGAGACAGGAATATTTACTTTAATTGGTTGTACCACTGAAAATCCATTTTACAGTTTAAATCCAGCTCTACTAAGTCGCTGCCGCATGTTTGTGTTAAATAAATTAACAGAGTGCAATGTAACAGAAATTCTTCATAAGGCATTAGAATATATAAATGGAAAGATGCTTGATGTACGAGAAAAAGAACAGATAAACAATAGAGAGCAGATTAAATTCCATTCCAATACAAAACTTAAATATCATGTTGATAATAATACAATACAATGGTTAGCAGGAGCATGCGATGGTGATGCACGTGTAGCCCTGAATGCTCTAGAATTAGCAACGCTTGCGAGGCAAGTAGATGGATCAAAAACATCATGCAATAATGATATAATAATAACTCTGGAAGATATTAAAAAAGGTTTAATAAAAACACACACGCTTTCTGAAAAAGAAGCCAATCAGAGCCATCACATATATTCCGCACTTCATAAATCGATAAGAGCTGGTAAGACAAATGCTTCTCTGTATTGGTTGGCCAGAATTATGGCAGCTAAGGAAGATCCGGTAAATATTGCAAGACGATTAGTTAGAATTTCTAGTGAAGACATTGGTTTGGCAGATCCAGATGCTTTAGGTAAAGAAACAAGATATATTCATTTCATAGTCCATACTCTAAAAATAATGGGTGTGGATTTAACACTATACAGTGTTTAAATAATTTTTACTATGTTGATGTTTATATCAATATCTACTTTAAAATCCATGATCTTAAGATTAACATTAACACATGTAGATTTAAAACACAGTAAATAATATCAACTGATGTTAATATCAACATTAACATAGTAAGAAATTATATGAACATCGTGCATGATATTAAATTCATATCTGTATTTTTTAGAGTACAATTAAATTGTTTAAAAAATTCAGGTGTAGCTGTTCATACAATGCATGGCTGTCAAATGATTGGTATGCCAGAATGTGACGTACTTTTGGGACAATGCACAGTTTACTTAGCGAAAGCACCCAAGTCTCGATTAATATATAATGCATTAAAAGCAGCTGAAAAGATGATTTTGGAATATGAAGGTCCTCAACCGGCTGTGCCATTACACATGAGATACAATTCGGACAGAAAGCTATAAAGTAGATTCAATATAATTTTTTTATTATCTCTGTATATTTATTACTATTTTAATTTTTTATACTAAATTGTTACTTTTGTCTTACAGGTATCAATAATTTAATACGCTAAGAATGTACGATGGTACCTGTTTACTTATAGAGTTACAATGTTTTGATTGCTTTCAAAAAAAGCAAAATTTGTAAATGATTAATATAAAATTTATATTATATATCTACTTTTGTTATTTATTTGTATCTATTTTAAAAAAAGCCTTCAATATTCAAACAAAATTAGCTTCTAGAAGATGGAAAGTTATCGGCTTCAATTTATCGGCTTTTAATAATTTAAATTAATTTAATGTAATCATTGGATTTTATTTTCAAATTCCAATTGCTTTTTCATTGCATGTGTAATTATTCTATAGAGTACTGATATGTATTGACATATTTCTTGTCTCTCCATTTTGAAAATTTTCATATAATCTTATTCCATTATTGAAAATAATTATTCTGATGAAACATTTCAACACACATACAATAGAGCTTAAAAAACAAATTTTACCGTTTAGAAGAGAAACTAATATATCGATTTCAGATTCTTCATAAATCATTTACTATAGCATCTATCTCTAAAATATTAAATTGAAAATTATAGAGTCCGAAAACCAACTCGTTCTCTAAAGGTTAAGTTAAAATTGTTATCATTCTTTCTAACCTAAGATTGAACGATTAAAAGTAGCCTCTATTCAAATAACACGCAATATTACAATGACGTCAAATTAATATAAAATTCAGTGAAACGTCAAGTCTATCATATCAAGATGATATATATCATGTCAATATCGATTATTACTTAGATAATCTATTAATCAATAATTCATACATTCATAATTGTCGGTAAAATTATTAATATTTAATTAATTATTCAACTACTATCACAATCTCAAGTGTTTATTTATTCGCGGGACTTCGTAATGTTGAACTTGATATGTTATAATACGATGCGGAATATATACGTTTGATCACGTTTGATATTGGCGCGCCATATGCAATCGACCAATGACGTTGGACACTAAATGCAAACAACCAACTATTGGCTTGACGCTGTTATCGGGGGGGCATATAGAGTACATTGTCGTCACGAAAGCGATCATTTCCACTTACATCACACATCTTCAAAGACGGCTCGACGAACGGAGGACGCCCGATATCGTGACAGCCTATTCCGCTCACGTGTCGCACGTTAAATTACGGTGCCCATCCTACATGCAGTCGTTCGCCCTATCCATAACGCTATGAAAATCTGGACGTCAGAGCATACCTTTGAGTGAGTTTAAAATGTGGCTCTACAGGATAAGTACTTCGCTGTATATTATGCTACTTGATACAATTATCCTCATATAATTCGTCAGGTATCCCAAATTTTCAGATTTTGTAACGTGTAAAGATCGTAATGCAACACACGTCCTCGTTACACAATCTTTATACTTCTACAGTTTTAAAAGTGAATTTCTTATCGACAACGTAACCTAGTAATGAATGTGGGTTATCTCCAAAATGTAAAGGGCTTTCAGGAGCCAATCTGGTTTTATCTATTCTTTTCAAAAATTCGCGAATATTTTGTGCTCAAAAAGAAGATTAAGACAGCCCATTTATATCTGTTATAGCTGACTTGACTTAACCTAAATTTAAGAAGCATTTTCTCTTTTCACTTTCTCCTAACTAGAGGATAATTTCGTCGAATAAATTTTTAGGAATTATATTGACGCGATTCTTCTTTGATAATAAGGACAATAATTTTATTTTGCAGTCATCCTTGGGAGACAGTAGCGCAGGCTGCATGGAGAAAGTATCCCAATCCTATGGTGCCTTCGGTTATTGGAGCGGATGTAATCGACAGAGAAGTGGTCAATGGTGTTCTCCATACCCACAGACTCGTCGTTTCTACCCAATGGGGCTTTCCTAAATGGACGCAAGCAGTATGTCTTATAATTTTCCCACGTGCTGTCACATTGGCGCGCGTTCAATATCACTTTAGACTTTAGCATACCTAGGTCTAACCTTACCTCCAACTCTAACCTTTAATCAGTACCATCCGTATTGCAGTCGCGAAATAAATAATTGGAAATTTTTTATTTTTACAAATAATATTAGAGTAAATTATATAGCGAAGTTATTTTCGTATAACAAATTTTTATAACATAATATTTATATAATATAGAAAATATATGAGAATATAAATTTTTTTTTTTTAAATATTAAATATTTTTTTATATAAAATTGTAAGAAATATTTTTTGTTATATAATATTTGAAGATACATTTTTTGCTATTTTTTTTATTAGATTTCAATAATTTAATTTATTTCGATGTCGTTCGTAACATTCTTCGAACTACTATTGTCGACCCTGACAACGGTAACGCGAACACGATGTCACTACCAGTAGTTACATGTAGCTATCACGTGTCTTTTTACGAAATACTATCTAGATATCAAGTGGATATATCAAGCCAGTATTATGTATACTTCTAATCATGTATAGTTCTAAAAAGTTTGCTTCATAACCGAAGTATTTTCTATAGACGCAGATAATATTTCGTTTGATGTATGACAAATTTTTCAATGACCGTTTTAATTGACTGTAGAAATAGAGAAGTTCTCAAGTTTTCAGAAATCCTGAATTTTTTAATCAATCAATACATTTGAAAACTTTATCATACAACAAATGAAATATTAGCCTACGATTAATGTAGAATACAGAAAATGCTATAGTGTTTCATAAAGTCAATAATGTGAAAGATATTATGCTTTCTAATTATGATCTAAATTATCTAATTAATTATGATCTTTTAATTATACTGTCTTAATTATCTTTGATTCAAAGATTTATCTTGTCTTTTTAAAAAACACAGTTTTCGAGCTAATTGAGAGGCTAATTATTGAGAGTTACTTTCGTAATTTATTTAGAAGAATTTTTATCCCACAATAATTATATATTTTCATAACGGATTGAATTTCGAATGGACTTAATTGATAGTGAGGACAATAAAAGTTCATTTGTATATCTCATGTTTTATCAATGTAGATATTATACATTCAAAATCCAAAATAGGACAAATTTACTATTAAAAAACATTTTTGTTGTAATTTAATCCGTAATTACTTGGATTCAATCATGCTAGTTAACAATTAACAAGGAAAGAATATATCCTAATTACACAATTTGTGTAATTAGATTATAAAAAGAATCTGTTTGTGACGGAAAATTACATTAATGCTTATTTCCACATGTTATAATTGCTAAAGATTAAAGGTTATCAAAACTTTCATGGATGAATTTTATTAATGAAATTGTCTTGGTAACCTTTAATCTTTAGGTAACACAGGATGTTCGTTTTAATTAATACATTAAAATATCTCGAAAATGAGACTGAAAAGAATTTCAGAAAGGTTTCGAGGAGGACATTACTACTTTGGTCATGTTTTTTTTTAATTGGAGACGCCAAAAAGATATAAAGATCCTCTTTTTTTTAAATGGAATTATTTTTTACATAATTTTTTTACATAACATGATTCCTCTAATTATTCTACATATAAAAATATTAAGATAGAGATATAAAAAATAGTTTTCGAGTTATTTTACATTATTCTAACATATATTAATATGAAATATTAAATATCTTGTAAACTATTCATTTTTTAATAATTATATCTTAATAACTATCTTTATACACAGAATAATGAGATAAATGAATTGATAAAAGAAAACACATAGTTGTTTATTAAAAAAATTATGCATTTTGCAATAAGCAACTAACTATTTATCTAACATTTTCATCAGAAATTTATTTTTTTCAATCACATACACACATGTTTCATATATATATGTCTCATTCTCGATACTTCGAGATACTTCAGTGCGTCAAATAAAACACTGTATAAAACGGGCCTAAGTATCAGCCGCGTTATTATAAAGAACATTCCAGCATGTTGTTCAGTATAGTAATGTAATCACATGGGCACCGACCTGCTACAAGGTCGCCGCTTAAATCGACTTTACTGGTTGAAATACACAGAGTGAGCGGATGGTAACTTCGCGAGAGAGAACTTATCGACAGCTTTTTTTAATTAATATAAAGGAATGAAATAAAAACATGAATTTTAGCATTAGCTATTCTTTGCTTCTTTTGTATTACGTATATGAATTTTACTTTTATTTTTATTTTTCTTTGAATCGCATTGCGTCTTTATTTTTTCTCAGATATAAGATTGTGAATGAAAATGTGTCTGTATAGGATCTGCAGGATGTAAATACTTGTAATTGTTCGCAGCTTATCAAACTTGAATCATAATTCTCTAATGATGATTGCGAATCAGTCATAACTGTGGAACTTATCTACAACTCAGTTTATCGATTTTTTTCGGCGCACTCTCACGGCGTGCCGATAAAACTGTTTCATTTACGTACGAATTCTTCAGAATGACCTTCTCGAAACCTTTGTGACTCGATGTCGCTGCCAGTAACGCTTGAATAAATTATTGACTTGCAATTACTTAAAGACCTTTACAATTTCTTTTTTTTTTCTTCACGCGTAAAGTCACGTAACTATTGCTATAAACTTGAACTAATGCTACATACGAAAAAAATAACTTACAATGAATAGTTTTAGATTTTATCAATTGGTTTCTTTTTGAAATAAATATGTTTATTTGTATTTTTTAATATATAAATTTCTTAATTTCTGTTTTCTTACTAAAACAATTCCAAAATAAATGTCTTAAAAAAATTTAAATTTTAAAATTACGCCACTATTTCTGTGTGTGCCTTTGAATTAAGATAATTTAGATAATACGCGTTGTCTAGAAAATCTCTTTAGATACCTTTTAGACATGTATATCTTTATGACGTCTTTTAGACATGTGTGTTGTCTGGGAAGCTTCAGAAAATAAAGGATATCTAATATTATTTGTATATTTTTAGAATGTCTAGTTTTAACGTGAAAAAGACTAGTATATTTATGTTTATCCTTGAAATTTCTCGATATTTTGATGAGAAGATGAACTTCAAACGCAGCGAAAGATATTACATTTGATTCGTTATTTATGATTCGGCAATCAATTGATGTTTGATTTTAATGAAATCTTGTGAGAAAAGTTGTTTTAACATGACGTATAAAGATATTTTAGATCGAAATGTAAATATTTAGTAATTTACGATGAATTTTATTTCATATATGTATAACTTAACTCTTATTATTATTAGATTTATATTGAATGTATTGAATGTATAAATGTTTTATATGGAGACTCTTTTTTTGAAAAACTTGGTCAATTAATTCCTATCATTTTATATAGGTATCTTAATAGAGTATTAATGCTGCATAATAATTTCTTAGAGAAACGACATCGTTGTAGAGACTTTCTATTTCTGTTATTCGTAAAAAAGTTGAATGATATTGCACTTTGATATGTAATTTTATCAGTTGGCACAGCTTTTTCACGGTCGTTCGCACAGTAAAATTGACGTTGCACTGATCTCCGGCAAGCGACAAGAAATCAATCTATGAAGCAACGTAACAGAATCATTCACCTCTTTTGCCCGTGGCATGTCGGCAAAAACCTCATGCTATTCACTACCCCAGTCTAGCAATCTCCGTCGCAGCAATGCGGAGACCCGGAAATTCGAAACTTTCGACAAACATGCGCAAAAAGAAGGTGCCGGGGACTCGGGGAATTGCAAAACAACATCCGCACTAACATCAACTTTCATAATGAGCACGCTCAATGTTACGCCATTTGGCAATCGTCCAGCCAGACGCGTCTGCCTTCTGGAATACTCGGGCAACTCTCTGTTCTCCCGGATTCCCAATCCTTTGCTATCCCACGGTGCCTTCGCCGGAATACTGGAGATTCCGGGGCGTCGAATCCCTTTCGGCTCGGCGAATCGCTTCCTCTCGTCAGATTTTCTATAAGCTCGGCCATTTCTCTGGGCCGTTTCGTTGTGCAACCGCTCGTTCGAGTGACTCGACTCATAGTATCACATATAAGCTGTTCAAGGAATGGTGGAGCTAAAGAGATTGTCCAATACATGGCCGACGATAAGAGTTCGTATGAGAGACTTATTTTACGAAAAGATCTAAAAGCCTATCAAAATAATTGACGAGATTAATGAGGAGTTTCATCTTTATATGTTCTGTTTCTTGTAACATTATTCATTGTTAAAAGTTACATAATAATTAAAGATTAACAATATAAAGATTATACAAGGTATATAAGGAATCAAATTTAAAACTTATAAAACATGGAAATTCTGATAAAAAATATAATACTTTGTAATTAATTAAACAAAAATAGATATATATACAATTTTAAATTTGATTCCTATATGCTCTGTATATTGCTTCTTTATATTGTTTTTGAAATTAAGAGTCCTTTGTTCTTATCAATTTTTAAAGATTAACAATTAAAAATTAGGATAAAGCTGTCGACTTTTTGAATAATATGGAAAACAAATACAATTTAAATTAAAACATTGTAAAAAGAGAGCATCAACATTCAGGTCGTTTAAAAGTTTTGAAGTGAAATACATACATGTAGTATATATTAGTGAAATATATATATGTACACAAATATATATATGTATCGAGCAAATGGGGATCGAATATGATAGTTTTATTGATAGAATATTCTGTATACAATTGCCGCAGAAACTTGCAGTATTTAGGTACGCTAGAAACTATTTAACGAGTACGAAGTACGAAGGACCATTTTGGCCGCAACACTTTCGTCGACACCATTTTTAACGTTACACCCTCGATGCTACACTCATGCTATCCGAGTAATTAGCGGATGCACTCGACAACGAAATGCTCTGGAAAAAAAGTACGCGAGAAAAGTTCACTTATCGCGTCCGTTTGCGCGAAATGCTTAAATTGGTGGTAGAGAGTTCGTATAAGCAGGCCGGTTTATTCGAGCGACTAATTAGAATATGCATAATTAATCGGCGAGGAACAATAATTAAAGTGTACTTAGCGTGCCAGTCTAATTAGCGTCTTTCTAATTACCTAATTACTCATGCTAATTTGTTATTAATATCGCGTCGCCACGGAAACTTACGGAGAGTGGCGTTATATTTCTTTTCAGGCGGAATAGACGACTCAAAAATTGTTGACATATTTAAGCCTGAGATACACTAAAAAAAACATAACTAAAGAACAGGGAATAATTTTTCAATTTATCAGAAACTGCGGCAACTGAGATAAAGCGAGATAATTTGAAAGATTAATAGAAATTTTCAAGTTGTATAAAAGATTGAAGTTGTATTCAATTAAATATATAAAATATACATTATTGCACCAAAAAACTACTATACTATTGCAACTATACTATTGCAACAAAAAAATTTTTGTTAATTTATCCAAATTATCCCGCTTTACCTCATAATTTACCTTACATAATTTTCGTATACAAAAAAATGCATACTACATCTAAAAATTATTTGTTTCAAATATTTCAAAAGATCATACATTCACAAATTCATCACAAGCATCAAATTTATTCAAAATATATTTTGAGAGAGAAAGTTTAATATTTAAAGATTCAATTAAAACATTAAATTAAAACAAATTCGATTTGCTTATTATATAAAATCGTTTTTTCAAGTTAATTCTTGTTTTGAATATATATTAAGTTTTTTTAAAATTTGTACTAAGTATATTTTAAGATTATTATCAAGAAAATATTTTTTGTTAAAAATAAGTGTTACTTAAAAGAAAGAAAGTAAATTGAGTGATTACCTTTTTTCGCAATAGAATAGTATCTTTCTGTGTGATAAATTGAAATTTAATAATTCTGATAAGAGAGTTGAAATCTGTCCTTTCTTTTTTTACCTATGCTTTTCAATCGTGTCTCAGTTTAATACTTTTGATTACTTAATTATTTATCGCCGATTATTTCTAACGATTGTCGGTAGATGCAAGCGACTGTCGAAGCGTTAAACTGTACTACCAACGTGTGTAAAAAATTTCAATACGAGATAAAATTGATTGATTGATCGTTTGTCACTAGGATGACTCTTATTTTTATTTGACAATATTTTATGATTAATCCCTTTCGGCCCAGTGTCTTTTCGTGAAAAAGTGTCAGTTCGTTATGATTGATGATTTTTTATAGGCTTGCAGTTTTATCGAGATCGAGGACTCAGATATATTTTTTTACAACGATTAAATAAACGGTATCATAAATTTAGGGTGTTTGTTATGCTTTCCACGCGACTGTGAGAACAGAATAATGCAAACGTCCGCTATAGGTGGTTAAATTAATTACCGCGCGCACCTTCTGACGTAGAACCAATTAATAATCGCTTATCGCTTTCTATAGAGTCCAACGCTATTCGTGTAAATGTTGCTTTGTTTGTTTAATTCGCCTTGTGTACGTATAACATGCTGATATGAGTACATAGTGTATTTTCATAAAGGCCCGTTGTTACTTTCCTGATTGAACGTGAATGTTATTATAATTTCTGAAAATAATCTTATTAATCTTATTAATACTATTGTACTTGTAATATATCAATAATAGTCGATGAAATAATTGAATAATTATAATACATCTCTAATCATAATGTAATGTAATGAGAAATGTTTTTATTTGATGGATTATTGAACCATATAGAATGACATGTTATTGAAAGCAACAATATATTGTCATACATTAATTCTCAGTTAATTTTACTTAATCTATTACATCATTATTAGTCATATTACATTATGATAAATATTGATGAATTACGATTTTATTGCATTTCTTTTTTCGCTCTGCTGAGCACGCTATGTGAAAAGTCGTGAAATCGAGCCAAAGTAGCTCTCAAAGACTGAAACATGCCATTGAAGTTTGGAAGGCTTTATCATTAAATTCAACGCGGAAAGTTTGAAATCGGAAGTGCTTGTCTATAGTACTTCCGAGATTTTTATCGGTGACCGAATCGGTTTTTAGCAGTTTGCCAGCCAATTCTCACTATATTTAAATGATTCGAAATTTTTTTTTGACACGGAAAGGACTTTTACGTTCTTACTGCCAAGGCTTATAATGCGAACATACGTTTCTTTTATTTTTACAGTTAATCGGCTACGCGAACTTGTGTTATGCCAGCGAGCGCAGCGAGGTCGATCCTGTGAATAAACAAATGATCCTCAGGACGCATAATGTAAGTATTTGTTCTTTGTTCAAAAATGGACTAAGAAACCGTTATACTTTTTCGTGCATTATACAATTTATGAGAAATTTTTAGATCACGAAATAATATAGTTGTATATTTTTTTAAATGAATATGGCGTCGATGTGACGTTTGATTGTTGTACTCATAAGAAAGATTTCTCAGCGTATATAATTGATATAAAAATAGTTTTAAATATTTTATGTTAAAAGAATGGCTTAGATTGCAAAAATGAAAATTTTCTCTCGCATAAACCGCTGTCTCATTGTGTGACGTGACAGCATTCACACGCTGTCCACAAAAACGATATTTCTAAACGTAATCCAATATCTCCGATCATATTTCCGGTATGCATAGACTAACGTAGATCCGAAATATCCATCAGCAGTGTGCTTGCTTCACTTAATTAGAATTGTATATATCTGTCACGTGGATTTAATTGAATTTTTTAATGGAGAACTTTTATCGGGGAAGAGATGCTTTCTCTGCAAATTTATTCGTAATTGCGTATTCGATACGAATACGTCGCGACATTTGGATTCAATTGCAATTCTAAAATTAGATGCGGAATAGCATCATATGCTGAAATGACTTTCTGGTAGCATTGGTATTCGATTTCGCAACTTGGTCTTAAGATGTTATATATTAGATATTAAACACGAGAAACACGTGCGAAAAAATATTGAGAATTTGACCAGGTTTGTATTGTAATTGCATAATTATTGTTGCTGGAAAGATATTAGATATTACTGATTATTTTTATTTTTAATATTTTTTAAAGTTAATTTGAATTTTGAAATTAGCGAGCGTAAGTGATAATATTAACAATTTTACCGTAGACGTGTATACTACCAGAAATAATATTCATCTCGGCGGTCGGTTATCAACGGAAGCGTCGCGTCGAAACGCATCGACGGTCGCATCGCGCATAGTTCCTCGTTTCTGCGATAACGAAGTGAGAATTTTTGGGCGATTTTTCGACCATAACGAAATTGCGAATGCATCGCGGTCCCTGTTGCGAAATGGCACTTTAATAAAGTGTCGTCCGGAAAGAAAGAGAGAATGCTGAGCGGTTGCTCCATTAGCGCGTAATAAAAGCATTCTTCCCGCAATGCTGTTTCTCTTTACATATTTCGATGGTAAAATGATGAAAATGTTATGAATAAATGGACTGCATTTTGTAATGATTTAAAATTATTGCGCCAATTTATTGTTTTCTGGTTACGTGTATTACGTGAATCATTAATGCCTAAATTACATATGATTTTTATGTATGTATTATATCATGCATAACGGGAAAATTGCATTTTATTGTTTCTCCAATTTATTTCTTTCAAAGCTTTAGGAAAAAGAAACTGCGAGAAAATAGTTACAGATTTTTCAACAACATGTTCTTTCAGTTAA